GACTGAAGATCTAAAGGTCCCCGGTTCAATCCCGGGTTTCGGCAATTCAATTTTTGTTTTTAAAAATTTTCAAATTGAAGCATAAAACCTGCAACATCTGATTAATAAAACAACAATTATTTAAGGCTCATTTATTTTAAATCCCTTTTGGTTAATGGAGCAGACTCCTTGTCAATGTACGCAGAATTTCTGCCTTAGAATCCTAGTAATTTGATTTCTAGACCTCGCTAAAGCTAAAGAGTTAACGATCGATTTGTGTTGTATTTTGAAAGAGTTACTTCTATTTGCTTAAATTCAAGGGTTGAATCCTCGTTTACAATAAAAAAGTAATAGATCTCACATATGCACTACATTTTGAGGGTATGGTGGGTATTGGGAATGGGAGGTCGGTTTGGGGGTTCTTAAATAGCTACCAATTGTTTCGTTTTAATTAAAGTCAGATAAAATTTTTACTAATATCACCTTCTCGAAATTTGTCCAATTCGTTTTCATTAAAAACTGATGTAAATATGTATTAAGAACGTACGTGTATATAAAAGTTTGATCCTTAAGAGCTTTGATTTGGCGGTGTGGCAATAAATGAAATTAAAATAAAATGTTAATTAAATAATTTGCATTTATTTAAAAACGTAAAAAGTAACTAATTTTAGGATTGAGTAATTTTTCAAGTGTTTTGCTTTTCTATCTTATTTTTCTTGTATTTTTGGGTAGGCAAACATTTTGCTCACATAGTTATAAAATATGCGAGCGGGTAAGTCGATGAGTGTATCAAAGGACACAGGATTTAAAGAATAATCAAAAACTTAGCAGTGGTCCGATTGGTTTTTATAAATGTACAAAATCTAATCAATAAACATTAAAAATGTACTAAATTAAACAAAAGCACGAAAATTTGCCGGTCCAATGCCTACAATTAAAAATTGTTTTTATGCCTAATTATCAACTATGATATATGTATAATCTTGTATAATTGTATGTATAATTGGTTTCATAATATTTTAAACTACAATTTATAACACGCGCCACGACGTAAACAAACAAAGGCCAGGATAGATATATGTATATGTCTGTTTGGGGGTGTGAAAGTGTATAAACTCATATATATATTTATATATATATATATATGCACTTGGTAACTATGTATACGATGTCAGTACATACTCGCTAAATTAAATTTTTAACTGCAAAATACGCAGCACACAAGATTAAACAGTGCTTCGGGAGCGGTTCATCAACAAACAAATAAAAATATAAACTTATCATTTTGACCAGGGTCAGTACAATTTTGATTTCAAATCGCCTTGATATATGTTTCTTTATAATGTGCATTAAATATATTTAAAGGTGTCTATGTATATGCATATGCTTGGATCGGGTGAGGGTCGCAGTGTCACTTCTGTATCTTACTCCACGGCAAAGCCACAGGTCTCCTCAACGGTCTGCGTCAGCTTGTCGCACAGCAGCTGGTACGTCTCGTACGGCGGCAAATCGATCCGGTTAAAGCAGGTGTGCGCCTTGGGCAGGTTCTGCGTGGGCACGTCGGCAGTCAGGTGAATAGTAAACAGCCGTGGTCCCACTGCTCCCGTAGAGCCCTGCAGTGCTCGGAAACCCTGCAACGGCACTCGCGATGATCCCGTCACGAACTGCAGCAGGCGAGCTCTCATCTCAGAACTATAGGACTCGACCACCTGCAGAAGATAACAACAATGGTCAATAAGACGTTTAATAATCTTAAAAATAAAGGCTTATAAACAACTATACACACCTGCCAGAACCACAACACCTGCGTCGTTTCGTTCGTACAGTGCTTCAGTCTCGTATTGTTCCGCCAGTCGTTGACATCTATGCTAGAGATGCCACCAATGACCAATTCCAGTTCGCGCTCATCAAACGGTCTTAAGAGATGGCTGGGTATAAGCTCACAAAAACCTGGAAAATATGCATTTCTCACATCTTTGCTTAAAGTGAACTTAAATGCAACAACAAACCTTTCTGCAGAGCCAAAAACTGTTGTTCAATGCCGCGCATGAAACGATAGTTCACATAGAGCTTGACATACTCGCGTTTATTCTCCTCCGTCACGGGAATGGAGGCACCTCCAGGCTTCAGTTCGTGCACCACCAGAGCACCAAAGCTGTTGTTCTCTACACTGAATGTGGATTCAATGATGCCGCTTATGTTGCTCTCCCTAAAATCCAACGATATTATTAACAATTCCTAGATGTTTAAAAGTTTTTTACTCACAGCATCCAGGTGAGGCTGCGATGTAGCTCCGGATCCACGCCTTCAATATCACCAAGCGTAATCGGTTTGTTCAGCAGCTGCTTGTAGAAGGGTGTGGTGAACCCACCATCTAGACAATGACCGTGGAACACGGCAATGCCCAACGTGCGACCCACGAAATGAAAATAGGATAGGTGATCGGGATTCACACCAGAGTCTGGATTAATTTGCAACGTGTAGTGATCATCCCTACTGTACTGGAATAGGCCATACTGTGGGTTCAACATCTCGCGGGAGAGCAGATGCAACCACTCGCGTGCTACGCCACCATAGTCCAGGCCCTCCTCGCCCTTAAATTTAACCATTAGACGCTTGCGCATGTCCTTGGCCCGCATTTTCATTATCAGTCTATAGCTCTCCTCGAAAATCTCGTTGCGTGACACCTCCAAACGGCAGTGGCCGGATTGCGGCTGCATCGTTTGCAGCTCCGTGCGTAGAGCCCGCAGCTTGCCAACCAAATCGCGGCGGTACTTGGGTAAAAGGTCGGCGCCTTCTAGCAATCCCTGTGGCAGATCCGGAACAATACGATGGGGCGGGTTTGTTGTAGTTGTGAGCGTTGTTGAAGTTGCGTTGTTCGTCGGTGTCGCCTGGGGTGGAACTGCTGCTGTGGCCGAGGGGGTAGCAGGAGTAGCCGATGGTGGAGCAGTTGTGCCAGCATTTGCTGCGGATGGTGGAACGGCTCCACGTCGAATCATTTGCAAAATGCTGCCACTTAGTCGAGGATCTGTAAACTGTGTGGTTCGGTTGTTGTGGTCCACAAAGTAAACTCTTCCGGAGGCCGTCTTCCGCTGTTCCCAACCACTCGGCAATGGTCCTATAGCATCTAGAGTCAAATGCTGGGTGTCAAAATCCCGTGGTATCCGAGGATCATGCCACGTGGAGACACCAGTGGGTATGTGATAAAAGTACACCTGCCCTTGTTGCGTGGTTCGCATTTCATATCCTGGCGGTAGATCCAAGAATGGTCGTGCTGCCTGATTGGCAGCGGCAATAGCTGCCGATGCGTATCTCTGGCCGGATCCACCTCCACCGCCAGATGTGCCACCATTTCTTGTACCTCGTGAAGAGCGTCGTCTAGTGGAGGACTCCTCACCTTGTTGCCGCGAGCTCCGACGCTGAGAACGCTGACCAGGAGTTGCGGCTGTATAGGATCTGCTTCCTCCTCCGCTTCCGGCTGGTGTGCTGTTCGCATTCGGACTGTGCACATTTCCATTTGCAGATGGTGTCACAGAAGCTGGCGGCGATATATTTGGCGTTGGCGGACTTTGACTATGCCTGGGAGGAGTGGTTGTCGTTGAAGGTGCAGTAGTCGCCGGAGCATCTTCTTGCGTCCATCCGTTACTAGCACTCTGGGGCTGCGCCGCCTGACCACTTCCATTTCCGCTCGTACTGCCATTTTGGGCATTTCCATTAACATAGTTCTGCTGACCCGTGGGGGATGTGGGCGTGCACTCTGGCGGAGCATGGCCATTCGTTTGGTGCTTTGGTGTTTTAACATGATTGTCGTTGCTGTGCAGGCGAACGGACGCCGATGTCGTACTGCTGGTGGGTGTTGCTGGTTCGTTTGTCGGACGCTGCTCCAAAGTGCGACCACCTGCCGAGGCTGAGTTCGATGAGGATGTTTTTTTACCAGGCGTTGTAGTGGCCAAAACAGGTGTTGTGGGGCTGGTGTTCTCTTTTCCCACGCTGGACAGGATTTCCGTAGAGTGTCTACGTTCATCAGAAGCCGTCACAGACAAGTCCCGACTGCGATGACCATTATTCATCAGGTTCGTGCAGGTTGTAGAGCGGGTTGGCCCAGCCGGAGCTTGTCGATCACCGCTGTTGCCGTTGTGGGAGTTGTGCCGTTGTTGCGGTGAAGTGGTGCGACTGCCTCCAACTACTCCTGGGTGTCTGGGTCGATCCCACTGCGTCGATTTGGTGGCATGGTTCACATAATAAACTCTACCGTTGTCCGTACGCCGCTCCTCCCAACCCTCCGGCAAACTATCTTCCGAAGAATCATCTTCCGATGGTCCACGGACATCTCCACTGGGTCCTACAATGGCCAGAGGATTGCCACTACTGGGTCCGTCCTTCGAGAGCAACGATATGATGATTTGACCCCGCACAAGCTCATCGTCATCCGGAGACAGCTTTCCGAGGTCCAAGCGTTGAACTGAAAGAATTATTGTTTAATGAAAATAGAAGTTAATTTGTCGATATAGGATTCACTTACACCCAGCTCCTTTGAGGCTCTGTATGTTGAAAGCGGGTATCCTCACACATCCCAGGAATCCACTGCCCTTGTGTATCTTTCGCTGATTCCACACAGTTATCGTAATGGCATCTCCAATGCCCAGAAACAAATCGTAATGTGCATTCCATTTTGGATCCAGAGAGGATTTGCTTATTTCCGTCGAGTAGACCTGCCCAGTTCCATCCACCTGCACCTTAGCAAAGGGATCGGGTAGACCTGCAATACAAATTTTAATTCAAATAAGAAAAACCAATCAGATATAAATATTTGTAAATTGGTTCTTTAATAATGTTGACTGTCTGTTGTCAATGATCATTATAACTAAATAAAGAATGGAAAATGGTACTATTTGACACCGATGATTACAGATAAAGTGTTAAATTTGAAATGCAAACCATTAATGCACACGTAAGTTCCAACAAATTGAGCCTATTTAAAGGTGCACGAATATCATAGCCCTGTTTATTTGCAATCCAACATGAAGGGCCCGAGTTCAATTGTGCTTTTGCTGCTGCTGATTTCGACTCAATTTTATTCACCAGCTGATGGATATAGCCATCGACACCCGGGATTTGCCCAACGCTTGCAGATTAAGCCAGGCTGCTTGCAGGTGCCTCAGATATACACCGAAGCTCCAACTCCTACGCCGTCCATTATCTTCTCCTCGTTGGAAGAGGTGGGAATAGAGGGCATCAGGAGAATAGAAGCAGATTAAACATCTTCCAGAGTAAATTCCCCTTGAGTGTGAGTTCCCTATTTGTTTTACCTTATCGGCTTTGCACTGTGAAGCCCCTGCTTAAATGGGGCCTATATAAACGCTGTCACTTCATGAGAGCTCACAATAAGAAAAATCGCAATGCCTTCTACTTTGATTCAATTGCTGGGACTGCTGGCCCTATTTCTTTTCGCTACCCTGGCTCCAGGAGATGCTTCCCCCTTCGACGAGAAACGCCGCAGAGGATGGAATCCAGGGCCAAGAGCAATGGGACAGATTCCCAGAACACCACCTTTCAATCCATATGGATAGGGCCACATCTAAATACCTAAGCCCTTTATAAAAATATAGAAATATTCTTAATCGTTTACAATTATAAAAAATGCATTTACATGGACTACAAAAAAATACCTAAAAATGACAAAAATTTAAATTTCAAAATTCGCTGCCCATCAAGGGGAAACTTTTTGCTCCACTCTTTCGTTTTTAGAATAAGGGCAAGAAATGTCAATTAAGTTCGGGGTTACATCCCGACGAGCACCAAAACGAAAATGCGGTCAAGTGTTATTAGTCAGAGATAGAGATATGCAAACACATTGCTAGACATGTGGAGGAATGGAAGCTATATGCCAATCTCCGCTATCAGAACTAAAATAGGAACCCCCGCTGTCGCATTGCTTTAGCTTATCGTCCTAGACGGCCACCGATAATGCCCAGAATCTTGACAAATTAAGCACTCGACATTCCGCTTGAATTAAACAATTAAGAACTACAACATCGAGCCGGAACCGGTGATTTATGCGCACCCGACTGGACTAGATACAACTAGTCCATCCCAGTCTGACAGCCTCTGAGTCATGACCCGGTGGATATCACAACTAGGTTTTCGCACACCCATATTTCTATCGGAATCCATTCGTGAATCGTTATCTCAAGGCTGTCGCTGTTGTCGTGGCCGCGGCCAGAAGCAGAGCAAGAGCATGTACAGGCCTTCCATCAGCTGGTGAGGATGCCATCAACCCGTTTGACTCGCCCAGGTAATTCGAGAAGGGCACATTGCAACGTCTTCGTCGCCGGTCGTCGCCTGGCAGCTGTTGATTGATTTTATGCAAGAAAGAACATAAGACGAGTGGGAGAAAAATGACTGGTAGGTAGAAAGCAGAACTGAAAGGCACTCTATATGGAAGTTAAAGGTGTATTTATGTTTTCTATGCAATAAAATTTCTTTGTTCCCATAGGAACATTCCCTTGGCACAACATTTTTTAAATATCTACTTTGCTTATAAATAAATATTTCTACAAAGAAATTTATGATTAGATTGATTGCACAAGAATGCCGGAAAAGCTTTGGGCGATTTAGAAATGTCAAGGGAACAAAATTGTTAATAGAGCTTGACGATTAAAACAAATTTGACCAACACCAGAAACGATACAGTGGACTATGATTTTGTTGTGGTTTAACAAAAGCTTTTGCATTCAAGTAATCAAATCCAACCAATTGCATAACCCAATATCCGAGTTCGCCAGGCACAGCTCTTCACTTGCTTCACGCCTGAGCTGCCTGAAAAGTGAGAAAGAAGAATGAAGAAAGCCAGAGGGGATTGGCGACCGACAGACTCGCCTTGGCTCGCTTTTGGGCCAACATGGCTATGTGTTCATCCCCCTTTGGCTTAACGCTACGTGGCACAATTTCGTAGCCCAGTCGGCAAGGCGAGGAAGTTAACGACTGGCTGCACTTTCACTCGGCCGGAAGCCGGTAGTCAGAGTTAGCGGAGCTTGAAGTCAGCCGCATGCCACCACTGCTGTTCGAACTACACACATAAAACAGTGGCGGCTTTGCTACAATTGGCACGCTTTATTCTGGGCAAGGAGTCACCGTTTGACAAGGGAAGCGTTCAGCCTGAAGTGCTTCAGCTTTAGCTTGGTCCTCGGCCGCCCGCTTCCTGATCCTCTCCTCGATGACCGGACGGAAGTTCCGTATGAGTCCTTGCGGGGGCCAGGCAGCACCATCGGCCAGCGCACAAATGGTATGGCCCTCGATCTGCTTCGTCAGTTCGAACAGCATATCGATCTCTTCGATTTGCGCCTGTCCTGTCACAAACCTCTGCATGATCATGTGCACCCAGTGGAGACCCTCGCGACAAGGAGTGCACTGGCCGCAGCTCTCGTGCTTATAGAAAGCCGATAAGCGGGCAATGGCCTTGATAATATCCGTATCCTTATTCATTACAATCAAGGCACCTGTTCCCATGGACGAACGCACTGCCATCAGCCCATCGTAGTCGTGAATCGCACTCGAGGCATGCTCCTTGGTAATGCACGGAGTGGAGGAGCCACCCGGAATGATGGCCAGTAAATTGTCCCAGCCCCCGATCACTCCACCAGCATGGCGTTCAATGAGCTCTCTGGTAGGCATAGACATCTCTTCCTCGACGGTACAAGGGTTGCAAACGTGACCAGAGATATTGAACAGCTTGGTGCCAGAATTTCGGGTACGCCCAAAGCTGGCAAACCAATTGCCACCACGCCGGCATATAGTTGGAGACACGGCCACCGTTTCCACATTGGTCACCGTAGACGGACAGCCAAAGACGCCGATATCGGCCGGAAAGGGTGGCTTGTTCCTTGGCTTACCCGCCTTGCCCTCTAAGGATTCGATTAGAGAGGTTTCCTCTCCGCATATATAGGCTCCTGCTCCACGTTGCACATAAAGATCGAAATCGTACCCGGAACCACAGGCATTCTTTCCCAGATAACCAGCCTTATAGGCCTCAATAATTGCATACTGAAGATTGCAAGCCTCGTTGTAAAACTCCCCGCGAAGGTAAATAAAACCAGTATTGGCACCCATTGCCCGTCCAGCAATGAGGCATCCCTCTATCAGCTTGTGTGGATCATGGCGTATTATCTCACGATCCTTGCAAGTACCGGGCTCGCCTTCATCCGCATTGACCACTAGAAACTTGGGCCTCCCATCAGGCGGTTTGTGCATAAATGACCACTTAAGTCCACTGGGGAATCCGGCGCCACCGCGTCCTCGCAGTCCAGATGTCTTAATCTCGTTTACTATCCACTTGTCGCCCTTGGCTAGGATCTCCTTCGTCTTGTACCAGTCACCGCGCTTCATTGCTGCCTTTAATCGCCAATCGTGCCGTCCGTATAAATTGGTAAAGATTCGATCAGCATCAGCAAGCGGTCCGAAAGTAGTTTTCGTCTGCGGTGGTGGAGTTCCGGGCGGTGGCCCCTTTGGGGGCGGTGGAGCGCCGGTTTTAGCAGGCGGAGAACCACCCGTCGGCGGAGTAGAACCACTTTTTGGTGGAGGAGAGCCTCCCGGGGTGGAAGGTCCAGATCCTTTGGGTGGGGTTGATTCCTTGGCTTTCAAGGCCATATTAGTTCCTCCTTGCAGAATAACAAAAGGTTGCATTTTTGTAGCATCCGATAGAAACTCAGGTTGTTCATTATTCCAGCCTATCACATTATTCCTCATCTCGTCAATTTTCTGATCTAGTCGAGATTTTTTTCTTTTAACCATATTTTTTAGCTTCTCTAGCAAATTGGCCTCGAGTTCTTTTTCTTCGGCTGGATCTAAACCCTTCTCGGACTTTTCATTAATAGGAAATTTCGACGTGGTTGGAAGTTTCTCGATTGGAAATTTGGGACTATCTACCTCAAGTTTTTTGAAGGTTTCCCTTTTTGCGGCCCTTTGCTCAGACGACAGCAAATCGTCGTTATCATCGATATGACCTTCTTCTCTCATGATCACCAACGGTTTGGCTGGCCATATTAAGATTGGAATGCAGCATTCAGCTTCAATTAGTTGGTTCTTCACATTTTTTACGCTAGAAGTTCGTAATACGTTCACCAAATTCTTATTTCCAGTTTTATCAGCAGCTCGTGAGACATTTTGAAGGTTTTTTACTTCTGTTAGACCTCTATAACCTCGAGTTAGTCCCAATGAAATCTTGTAAGCACCACGAGCTCCACGATTTATTAGAAACGATATCATGCTTTCGTCTATATCCGAAGTATCTGAACCTTCTTTTGAGTGTGTTGGGTCTTCAGTAACAAAAGGAGAATTCAAAGCTTACTATTTCCCAGATTTTTGAACGTGATATAAAACCCCCATTACTCACAATAGCGAATATATCGGAAAGTCCTACTATGGATTTTCCCTATAATGGATTTTCCCTAACCTGCGGCGCTGGGTATAACTAAAATCTTATCAAAAAGAATCGATAAAATATGAAGAACAAACTACTTGTGCACTATGTATGTATGCATATAGTAGAGGGAAAACAGTAAATGAATGTGCCATATTCTATAGTCAACCACGGAATCGAAGCATTAGCATTAATAAACAATTCATTTGAAGTGACACCAGCGGCCACAGACCCATTTTCGGATACCCAAAGAACCCTCTATTGGAATCTCACGGATAAGGTACATCGTATTTTTTTTAGTAGCACATGGCACAATGTATGGCGCGTGATTTAAGTGCAACCATGTGTACAAAAATGGACAAGAAGTGGTAAAAGCGAATAATAAATCACAAATACACAGAACGAAAAATATATGCCGTGTGCGCTTGTGATTGTATTTGTAGACGAGCGAGTGAGCCGCAATGAAAGCAAATTAGTAATAATCACTTTTGTTATATCTAAACAAAATATGGAAAAAGAGCTCAGATACGGCACCACTCGCACTCACCCACTCGACATGATGGGTGCGATGGGGGGAGGGGCGGTGGTCGTGGCCGCCCCTTTTCCGCAATTTGAATAAAAATGAAAGTAGACAAGAAAGGAAGTGCTAAATTTAGCGATACCTCATATGCATAGATAAATGTGAAGAAGAGGAAACAGCAGCGCCACAAGCGCCGCAAATAAAACAAAACTTTAATTTACCGCAATGTGTGTTTCGATTGGACGGCTAAACAGGTGCGTAATTGATGGTTTTAAAAAACCAAACCAAAAAAACAATAGTGAAACAAAGCTCGCTGGGTCTGGAGCTGGCCAACTGCTCCAAGTTCGCGGAACTAACCAAAAGTAAGGCTAAATGTTAACCCCAATCATGTGAACAAATTACGAAAAAAAAGTGATTACGCTTGTAATCGCATCATTTGCGAAAATAATTTTCATTTTAAGAAATTTGTGTTATAAAATATCTTACTTTATAAGATAAACGAAAAAGAAATAAAGGAATCATGCTTTGATGGCCGGAAGGGCGTACTATATTTATACATATATAACAAAGGGTAAAAATCGTTGAATTGTTATTTTACTTTCTGTTGAAACCGTATTAAAAATAAATTTATAACTCTTCGTCGGATGGGGAACTAAACAGTCAGCAATGAGATCCTAAGCTATATCATTAGGCAGTCAAATTAAAATTAAGATACTTACGAAATAAATCCTTGCGGGCCAAGTTTCTTGCACACAATACTGTAAGTAAAGCGATATATTAGAGGATTTTGTTAACAATTTGTTTAACAGTTTTTGGCAAAAGACTTACTCGTTATTCGAACTTTGTGTGTACCATTGCGACGTGGGTAATCCAATTTATTCATAATTTTCGACTTTTAATTGATATTGTTTGGTTCGTATAAAAATAAATGGATTTATTTTGTGTATTGATTATTTATATGTCGCGGGCATGTTGTTGCTGTTGTCGTTAAAGTGGCGAACGGAGAGCGAAGAAGAAATAGAAGTGGGAGGAGGAGAGGAAGCAAAGGAGGTGTAGGAGGAGCAGGTGAGGGCGGTGAGAGGTAATTTCATTGCCGAAGGTAACTGCAGTTGTTGATGTTGTTGTTGCTGCTGTTGCGGTAGCCTTGACGGTTGCAATTGTCGTAGTTTTCGCGTTTGTGGCTGTATGTCATGGCACACGCACATAAATATATTTGTATATAAATAATAACATCGATTTGCTTTTTTTACAAGCTGCAATCAAAGATAACAAATAGAAATGGTTATTATTAGTAGTTCGTTAGAGATAATGTGTGTATTTTCCCCCCAAGTGCAAAAACCAAGCCCAAAAGCGAGGGCGTAGGTAGGCAATCGTTCAGGTAGGCAAAATATTCACGAAAAACTCACCCGAAATTGTTTTGCTGCTGTTGTTGTTGCTGCCGCTGCACCTCACACGCACATGTCTCGCTCACTCTCTCACGCACACACACACGGACGCAATTCACGCATGCTGCAGGGGAGAGTGGGAGCGGGGGATCGATCTGTCTCTCTCCCTCTGCCTCTCTATTATTTCACAAATTGCATTAAATGAAATACCACTGTGTGTTTAATTAACTTTAATTTAGTCGCTGCTCCAGTATGGGTGCCACACTATTTACTCGAGCAGTAGTATTTCCTCCGCTATCGATGTGCGCGCGAGTGTGTGTGTTACTAAAATTTGCAATAATAATCAAAGGAGGCACACTTATGTTGTTCTAATTCAATCGAAATCGACCGAAAACTCTGCGAGCAACGCACGCCCACCCAGTTACTCGTCCACGGAACGGTTGATAGTGCGCGAATTATGCTGCCGCGGCCTCACGCGCTATTGTTTTACGAATTCCCATAAAAATTTAACTACAACTTCGAACGCCATTTTATTAGTGGTGGACCAACGTCTAGTGCTGGATGAAAAATCGATTACTCTTTTATACCGTCGATTCTTTTATATATTCGTGGGAATCATCGCATCCAATATGCGTGCCAACACGATATTTATTATTAATATGTTAAATGTGTATAAAATGGGATAAAAGAAAATTAAAAACTGTATTAAAATTATTACAATAACCGTAAAACATTAGTCACCTAGCTATACTTTAAAATCTTTGAATTACCATATAAAATTAAGGTTTTCTTTTATTGTTACTAACGCATTACACTACTAATGACTATCGGTTGCTACCAGTGTACCAAATGGATAGGAGTTTAGCTCTGACTCGAACCAACCTTCTTCAACGCAAACAAACAAACATATTGGCGGCGTTTTTATTTACCTTTTATTTTGCGCAAAAATTAACAATGTCAATCACCCTAGATTTTAATGGTAAAAACATTGCGAAGGGAAAGGAATTGGCCTTGCACTTCTTGCCGGCCAAAATAAATGGCGATGGGGAAGCGAATGTGGATCATTACTTTAACAACTACACACGTGAAGCAACCGAATTTGGCAGTGGAATCCTGACGAACGCCTTGCGCGGATATCCTTTAATGGGAGAGAAGTTGAAAGTGCCCGAAGGATACCGCGGACTAGTTCTACAAGAAACAGAGAAGCCCATCAGCTATTCCTCCGACCGACAGTTGCGTCTTACTGGAGTATTCCAGGATTTTACTTTCTGGAACTACGACAAAGTGCCTTCCAATGGCGATCCCTACCGACAGGCCCTTTTCCAGGCGGATGTTGCTCAAGCTGTATGTTTACGTAGATGCTCGAAGTACACTAAATAACATATTTAATTTATTTAGCTGGCGCAGCCTATTACTGAAGACGATTTAGAAGCAGAAATTGCTCGCAATAAGGAAAATGCCAATGATAGCCCTTAGTTTTAATCGCGCTTACCGCGTGCTATTTATTACTCCAAAATCTAATCCAATACATATATATCTTCACAACTCGTACACTTCATCTGGTATAAAAGGGGATACTGATGTATAAATAGGTTATGCTTCACTCGTCAGCGTCCTCGAATCGCTCGTCGTCGTCGTCCAAACTGAGATTCTGCACGCCGTTGCGTCCCAGCGTCAAAGCATCCTCCTCCTCCATGGCCTCGTCCTCTAAGCCTCCGGCATCCTGCATAGGATCGCTGTCTTCCGAATCGCTGTCTGCCGAATCAGGATGTAGGGCCTGGCAAGTGGTCATGGCGCTGTACATAGTGTCCACGGTGTGAATATCGTCCGGAAGAAGCCAGCACTCTGTGACCTCTTCAAACTGTTCGTCTACGGCATCCTCGAAATTATCATCGTCATCGTGCTCATCGCTCCCATTTCCCTCGTCCACTTCCGCCTCCGAAACGCCGCCATTTCGACCATTTACTACCTGCTGGGGAGGACCTCCGTAGACGCCGTTCCACTCGACTTTGTGGTCGAGCATGAAGTAGATGCACTTTCTCGGATTCGAAGAGATGCCGTGCAGGCTCACCTGCTTCCACTCAATGGATATACCCTCCTGCAACTCAGCTGGCTGCCATGATAGCGTGCTAAAAAAAATGATAATAGTCACTTAAAAAGGTTTAAACAATAGAGAGCAATACCAGACGCCGGCAAAGCTCTGAAGCGCTCACTTTTGGGCAATGTAAACTGTGCCTTCGCCCACCACTTTGTCGCCTAGTTTCAGCTTGATATTGTTTGCCGTATAGAGCAGACCATGTTCCGGTGGGGAAACACGCATAATAAGAACCATTTTAATACAATTTAATGTACAATTTGTAAAAAGCGCGACCAAACAACAAATCTTGCCAAAAAAGCAGTGTTGAATGCCATTTTCTCGTCAACCTTTAAAAGTCTGGTAACAGTGGCAACAGCAAAGAGAGTAAGCTAAATACACTGAACTCTGGCAACACCCTGAGATATTTTACTCCTTTGCACTTAGAATCATCAGAACAGGTGTTTCAAAAGGACAACTTCTTTCTAAACGCTGTTTTATTTATAAATAGTGATTTATGGAAAGGTACAATTCTGTCATAAAAAGATAAAAACAAATACGCAATTGTGCTACCAGATCAGCGCGTATGATTTCCTCCCGAAGAGGTCATAATTTGGCGCTCTAGCCGCGGTCACACTGGTTAGGTAGCGTCTCGTTCAATTTTCAATTTTATCTGTTAAAATTCGCAAGAAATGTGATAAATGCGGAGTTATATACTCACGCAACAAACCTTCGACAATAAAACACTCCTAGAAACGAAAGCATTACGGGCAGAAGTGAAAGGAGTAGCCTTCGGATTTATGAAACGAACTTGTCATTGTCCTTCCCAACGTTGTTGTTATTTTCCTTATCCGGTGGCAGTCGTTATTATTGTTGTCG